CAGAGCGAGTTCAAGGACAACCAGAGCTATGCAGAGAAGCCCTGTCTTGAAAAACCAAGAGAGAGAGGGGGAAGGAAAGAGGGGGTAAAGGGGAGAGGGGGTATGCAGGAGGAGGAGCTTAAATAGAGTTGTCAAAGCAGGTACATTGAGATGACATAGCACCAAGCCAAGACTTGAAGGAGTATGCTGAGCCGATGCCAAGAGTCAAGAAAAGCCAAGACATAAACACAAGTGGCCTGCTTGGATAAGCAGCCTGGAAATCACTATGGCCCAGGCAGAATGACCAAAAATCAGAATGAGTTCATGGAGACTGGAGATGATTGTTCTCAGCTCAAAGCAGAGTAGGAGCATTGCAGGTGGCCAAAAAGAAAAGAAAAAAAGGAAGAGCAGTTCGATTGCAGCTGTACTTTGAAGGTTGTGTCAATAGAATTTCCTAACACGTTAGTAACTCACCTAAACTTAGTGAGATTCAGGTGCTTGTTCTAGTGTGTGATCCTGCTTGCTGGTCATGGTAAAGCCTTCATACCTGTTAGGTCTCAGAACATCCGTATATCCAGAAATTCTCCAGCTGTACCCTCTGACATACAATACCAATATATTTCACACAACTAATGATCTAAATTTTCACTTGGTTTATTATATTAATATTTTTACCACTAAAGCAGCCTATCCAGGACTTTTTGCATCCAAGTCAGTGACTTGCCTATGTATATATTTGGTTCATATATGTACATTTTGGTTTCTACAGTTAAAAGGTTTTATTTGTTTACATCCTTTATAGTTAATGAAGAAAATAAAGACCATGACAATGTTGCACTTTCGTGAGGGAAATTTAGATTTAATTTCTTTCATCTAGCTATCGATCAATCATATATTCTCATATCTCTGTCTCTCTCTCTCTCCCCCTCCCTCCCTCCTTCCTCCTTTCCTTTCTCCTTCCCCCTCTCTGTCTTACAAGATGATCTAAAAGCAGTAAATTTTATATTGATTAATCGTACTTTTTCCTCTGCTTAGTGGCTGTTTCCTTTTGAAATCATAACTAAGTTGAAAAGAGGTATTTTGTTTAGATTTGAGCATATAGCATCACATAACCATAATAGAAGCTGCTTGCTTTGGAGACGCAGTTTCTCAAGAAATTGTATTTTTTTAAATGTTTGTCTTTGAAATGTAAGGAGCCATGTCATGATAATGAAGGATCTCCAGGCAGTCATACCAGTGAGATTGGGGATTTGACCCTCGGTGTGGGAAGCCGTCTAGGATATTGCAGTATGCTTAAGCAGTACCCCTGGCCTTTGCCCATGAAATGCCAGTAACATCTCCAGCCTTCCAGGTTGTGGCAACCAAAAATGTCTCCTGAGGCATAAAACTGCCCCAAGTTAAGACCCATTGTTGAAATACTATATTGCTTGTGGTTTGCCTCCTTGTGGGCACTGAGGCATGTATGCTGGTTTTTTGTTTTTTGGTTTGTTTTTTCTCTGCTATCTTCTTCCCTTTAATTCTTTATCTTGTGACTGGTTGGAGAAACTTCCATTATGAATCAGTGATGTTTCCTCCCCTTTGTCCTCTCACCCCGAAATTCAAAGTACTTTGGAGGGAAATCAGACCGTTGTCAAGGTCAGTGCAGTTCCTGGCTCCTTGGCTGACCTGGGAGAGTTGGCCTGATTCTCTCAGCTCCCCTGAATCCCAAGACATTGCCTGGGTTTGCAGAGACATAGCATCCTTCAGCCTTGTCTCTCTCACTCTGGTACATCTTCAGTAATTGAAGAAAAGCAGCTGTTGAGCATGCAAACTGCTTGCCAAGCACAAGCACTCTCCATTCCGAGCGGGGCCTGGCCCAGGAGGTCTGGGAGCTCAGCTTTTGGTTCTCAGAACCGCTAGCCTCAGTTGCACATACACTCAGCCTAAGGTCTCGTGCCTCAGTGTTTCTGACTGTGCTTCCTCGGTGGTTTCCTCTGCAGCCAGTGTCGGCACGCCTGACTGCTCTTTGGTCCCCTTCTGGTCTCAGTTCTCCTTTCACCTGCTGAGTGCCTGACTTTATTATAAATGTGCATTCTCCACATTTTAATAAGCAGACTTGCTGTTGCAGTGCTGATTTCTTGAAATAGTCCTTCCTCTTATGCTCATTCACTAATCTTTCTTTTACACCAACTACCACAATTCCAAAAGTCCCTGTGCTATATTGTTTTAAAGAATTGATTCTCATTAAAACCAATTCACTTTTTAATCGAACATAGATTTTTTTCATACAATATATCTGATTACTGCTTCCCCTCTCCCTACTCCTCACAGTTCCTTCCCACCCCCCCTCCCATACAGATCCACTCCCTTTCTGTCTTTATTGTAAGAAGCATACTGATAATTAGTATTGGGCATTATTCTTAAAAGGTCCTTGAGCAACTTGTGCACATTTCGTTTGATTATAAGCTCTTAATCATTGGAATTTGAAAAAAGTTCCACAAGTTTTTAAAGGATGAATATTTCTATTGTTTATTAGAAGTAGCGCCTTGTACTACTCCTTACCTGAGCCCAGAGAGACATGTTTCCTATAGCCAGACAGGTTTTTAACATCAGTTATAAAGCTTTTCTATCTGCAGTAACTTTTGGAAATGGTATCATTGGGGCAGGGGGTTATCACATGGCAGCCTCCAGCTTTAGGGTACATGACCGAAATGTTCAGCAAATGACCAGTGTTCCGTGTGTGGTTTGCCCGCCAGCTTTCCTTTCCCCCACTTACCCGTCCTAGCTCCCGCCCTGGCAGACTGCAAGACCAGGAAGTCCTCGGGTCATCTTCCTCTCCTACCCAGGAAGGGCTGACTTTTTCAGACTAAATAGTTAGTGCATCCTGAATTTTGTTAGTCTAGACTTAATGGTTGGAATTCCTGGTTTATAATTTTACAGTTGCCTTAAGGAGACTGTGTATGAGGAAGGAAGGAAAGGGAAATCATGCCTGTTTTCTATAGTGAAAATATTGTTTGAGATTTCTAAAATACAAATGTTAAAATTAGGGTAGATTCAGAAAGTGATACTTTTTTTTTTTTTGGTTTCTCGAGACAGGGTTTCTATGTGTAGTTTTAGTGCCTGTCCCGGATCTCGCTCTATAGAAAATGATACTTTATATAAAATTTTTTCTATGATATTAAATAATCAATTTTCAATTACTAAGAAAAATTCAACACAATAGTCACCTGTTTAGGAAATTATGTAAAAACAAATATGTTGAGAATAAATCCAACATATAATTTAATACAGCTTCCATTTTTTATCAGAATGAGCAATTTGAAGAGAAACCATATACCTCGTTGCATATAATTTTTAAATATAAATAATTCTAATTTGGTAATATCATTTATCTTTAACATAGTAAGTAGAGCTGTAAAGCAATTTTGTTCAACAAAGTCTGACTATGTAACCCAGGCTGGCCTGGAACTCACAGAGATCCGCCTGCCTCTGCCTCCCAAGTGCTGGCATGAAAGACATGCACCACCACACCTGGCCTGTAAAGTGATTTTTCAAATTATTTTATTATTTTGTGTATTTGTGTTTTGCCTGCATGTGTATCTGTGTAACATGTGAATTTGGTGTCCTTGGGGGGCATAGATTCCCTGAAACTATAGTTACAGTTTGAGCCACAGTATGCGTGCTGGGAATCAAACACAGGTCCTCTGCAAGAGTAGTTAGTACTCTTAACAGATGAGCCATCTCTCCAGGCCTGTGAAGTGATTTTTAAATAATGACTTTTTAAGGTTTTATATGTGTTTTAAAGTCTTAGTGCAATGAGTTAATATGGTATAGTTTCCATAAAAAATATGATCATTTCAGTTCCTCTTAGTCTAATGAGTTTGGGGGTTAAAACTCATGTAAGGATAATATGTTGTAACTGTGGAGAAATCTGAGCATCTCAGGCAGTCTCTCAGTGGACTTTGAATTATTCTATGAATTACATGTCTACAAAGTCACTACATTAGATACCTCAGTTTTCAGCCTGCACACAAGGAGGCCACCAGGAATTTCCAAATTCTCCTTTGTCTCTGCATGTTACTGAACCAAAAATTCAGTCAATTCAGTCAGATATTCAAATAGGTACACAGACGGGGAGGTAAGTCAGTTGGTGAAGTACTTGCCACAGAAGCACAAGGACTTGAGTTCAGTGCGCAGCACCCAAGTAAAAAGATAAGCCTAGTGACACATACTTGTAATTCCAATGTTGGGGAGCACATCCCTGGCACTTGCTGACCAGCCAGCCTCATGTAATCTGCAAGCCCCAGATCCTAGTGAGAGACCCTCTCTCAAAATTAACATGGATGGCTCCTGAGAAATAAGACCTGAAGTTAAAGAGTTAAAGGTTGCCACACCCAAGCACACGCCCCAACAGAGAGAGAGAGAGAGAGAGAGAGAGAGAGAGAGAGAGAGAAGAGAGAAGAGAGAAGAGAGAAGAGAGAAGAGAGAAGAGAGAAGAGAGAAGAGAGAATAGATATACATTGTTAATACTTGATGCCAGAATGTGTTCCAACTTTGGATATTTTCATCTCTCAGTTAAGGAATGAAATAAAAACAACAACAAGGATTTCTGTATTGAGTTTTGATGAAAATTACACACAATGTCTACTAATTTTGAGCACATAGCTCTTAGAACATCTGTTCTACACTTCTATTTCAGGAACTAACCCTGCCTTAAAATTAAAGATTTGTAGTATCACATGAACTTAATGAGAACTTCTTTTTGAACACTGAAGTGATTACCATGTGGAAGAGAAGAAAATGAGCCTTTAAGCAGTTTCTAACAAAGTGATAAATTGTGATTAATGGTTGATTTTATCCATTAATTTATCCATTTTATCAACTCTTTTCTTTTGTTTCTATGTGAGAAGAGAACGGAAGTAGAAAAAGAAGATAGATTATAGCTCCAAAGGAGTTTATGATAATTTGGGAAATACACAGTTTTTATTTTTGCTTTTTAATCATAATGTATATAATACAGAATATAATCACTGTTTTTCTTATTGGCGAGATTACATGAAAGAAATTATCACTAAGAAATAACTACTTCTTAAATATATGTATATACTGGAGGAATTGAGATGACCTCTTAACTATGCATCTGGGTTTTTTCATCAGTAAGTACATTAACATGCTTTATGGTTGTGATGATTAACATTCTGCTCATGAAGCACACACACAGAGGACCTAGCATACAACAAGTGCTGACTAGCTACTAGCTCACCATAGTAGCAGTATCTGATTTAATAGTAATGATATGAGTTGGGTCATATTTTCTGCTCCATGATTAAGGAAATTAACATGTCCAGCTAAATAAGAGATTGAGCCAGTACTGAACCAGAGAGTTTAACCAAAGGCTAGTCTTTTTTTTTTTTTTTTTTTTTTGGTTTTTTCGAGACAGGGTTTCTCTGTAGCTTTGCGCCTTTCCTGGAACTCACTTGGTAGCCCAGGCTGGCCTCAAACTCACGGAGATCCGCCTGCCTCTGCCTCCCGAGTGCTGGGATTAAAGGCGTGCGCCACCACCGCCCGGCCAAAGGCTAGTCTTTTATGTAACAAGATTACACTTCTTTACCATTCATTCATTTAGTTTACAGAAATTAATTGAACATAACTATATAGCAGGTACTGTCATTAATAATAACATCGTTATTTATATTGGAAATATATGAAAATAGCATGAAGATGGGCATATAATTATATATTATATTGCTTTTTATTTTGACAAATCGTAATTCAAATGTTTAAGCATATTTGTAAGTGAAATCTATTTATTAAATATTAGAATCATTGAATATGCCTTTCCCAGTAAAATGAGCCAGATAATACCAAATTTACTTTACAATGCATTATTCATACAGTTAGATAGGATTTAAATGAAGATGTTTCTTACTGGTTGAATTTTTCCAGTACTTAACATTTCTAATTTTTTTTTAGGTTAGCAACAGAATAAAATTTAACCGTAGATGAGTCCATGTATTCAGTTAGAAAGCAGGCACACCTATAAGCCTTTTGCTTCTTTATCCTTCAAGTCATAAAATATTGTATATTGGACAGAAGATTCACAATTGACTGAAAACAAAAAAAGAGTTTGATTTCATACACAGTGGAATTCTTGTGGTATACTTGACTTGCTTCTGGAAGTCTCTGTCATCTTGACTTTCAGTATAAATAGAACTGTACGTCCAATTTTATGCCTTTATTTATTTATAAAACCCAAAGAGGTTTGCTAGTGCCCATTGTCAACCAAGCTGTGACATTTTCATCAATTAATTTAATGTCACTAATAGAGTCACATGAATGTTTTTCTATTTTGTGGTGGTTTCCATTCAAAAGTCAACCATATGGTAGCATATGTGGTGAATTAAGATTTTGTAAAGAGATTATATAGTGTCTTCTTGAATGTTTTATCTAATAAAAGAAATATAATGGGATCTGTACTACTTCTGGCTGACGCAAGACAAGTGAGGATATTTTTTGCTTCTATTAAATAATTCAGCTGCTGACAGTCTCCTCTCTGGTGCAGAACATAAAAAATGGGTTTAAAAATACTATATGGAAGAAAGCAAACTACTAAGAGGACCTGGATGATCAAAAGATGCCTTTTCACAGATCTGTAGGTCAAATCTCTCTCTGTAATGGAGGTGCAGGTCCTTACTCTTCTCAGATGGCTGACAAAAGAATAGTATGACGTTACTACTACTAAAAATGAGAATCCAATAAATGTGGTTCCAATGAGACCTGCAATCTGAGAGATCCTGGCTCCCAGTTCCATCTGCCGATTGTAGCACTGTCTTTCTCCTTCTTCTGTAGCCTCCACAACTGAGTAGTATAGGATAACAGGAATAATTATGATCAGCACAACTCCCCATATGTAAGTGCACATTTTTCTGGCAAAGTTGGGCTGGCGAAATCTTTTTAGTAAGTGACCATAGAACATTCTCTCATAGCATGAGGTGGTGGCCTCTTGCATGGATTCCTTTTTCATTAAGGTAGCATAACGGCTTATGGCAATCCAGCTTAATATTAAGAGGCTGACAAACATACTCACATGCATTGATAGGGTTCCCAAAAAATTGACCAGTCTGCATTGTACAGATTGATATTTCCAATAGAAACCCTTCAAGAAATAGATACCCATGAAAGGCATGGCAGTGCACACAAGTAAGTTTGCAGTCACAAGATTTGCCAGGTAGACATGCGTTGACGTTTTCTTACCTATTTTTGTTAGAAATACCCACTGAGCAAGTGAGTTTCCAAAGAGACCAACAACACACAAAAAGACATAAGTGATCGGTAAAGCTGTGGTAGAAATCATGGATGGTTGAATGCATGTCGAGTTGTTACTCATTTATATCAGATTTCCTTGAATTTTGTCACAGGAGCTAGAACAGAATTGCAATACTTAATATTAATATTAATGTGGCATTTAAGTTAAGTCGATTTTTTTAAGCTTTTGGGTAAAGTAACAAAATGCATTGGATGGAGCTGGAAAATCCAGATGGTGTCTTACCTTTTCTAGTTGTCACAGTGGTCCAGTTGAAATAAAAGCAACAGTATTTAAAGTGATGCCTTCGTCTAAAAAACAAAATTTGATGCAAATAGTTAAAAATGCCTAAGATTGCCGGGCGGTGGTAGCGCACGCCTTTAATCCCAGCACTCGGGAGGCAGAGGCAGGTGGATCTCTGTGAGTTCGAGGCCAGCCTGGGCTACCAAGTGAAGTCCCAGGAAAGGCGCAAAGCTACACAGAGAAACCCTGTCTCGAAAAAAACAAACAAAAAAATAAATAAATAAATTAAATAAATAAAAATGCCTAAGATTTATCATTCATAGCTTTGAAGAATTTATAGTCCTTTGATTATAAAGCTATATGTAAATCATGATAGGTTTTGTCTAGAAATCTCAATTCACATACAAATTAATACATGCTGATCAGAGGGCAACGCTACAAATGTGGCCATGTTAGCAGACAGGTAAAATCTATCTCTTTATATGATAACTTAAAAATTAATAAATAGCTTCTATTTGCAAGTTTTTATATTAAAGCTCTTATTTTTTAAAACTAATAAAGCAAAAACTAGTTTTTAATTACAACATTGATTATATATAGTTTCCAAGTATATTTATGGCTAGATTAAAACACTTTTCTATAGTACTATTAGAAGGGTCTTTTTTCATAATCCAGAAGTAAACCCAATTCCAAATTAATGAAACTCATACACGGTCCTGAATTAAACAGAAGGAAAATATTAAGACCAAGGGTAAACTTCAGAACCCATTAGCATTATGAGATCACCAGTAATTTCTCATTCCAAATAGTGCTAAATTCTCACACTTCAATAAATTAAATTATGTGTCAAAACTATACTTGGTATGCTTGGTGGCTAGAATACCCTAATGTGTCCTCCTCTGTAATCTAGTATCTGTGGATTTCAGAATTTTTTGTTTATTTAGAGGATATAGTGTTTTCAACCCAGTGGAAATGCAGGTGTGGTTTTTACTTTTTTAAAACGTTTATTTTTATTTTATGTGCATGGATGTTTTATGTGCATGTATGTCCATGCACCATGTGCATGCAGTGCCTGTAGAGGCCCGAAAAGAGTGTTGACTTTCCTGGGACTGGAGTTACAGATTGATATGGTTGTGAGGCACTGTGTGGCTACTGAGATTCATTTGAACTTGGCTCCTCTGGAAGAGCATCCAGTGCTCTTAACCACTAAGTCATCTCTCCAGCCCTGGTTTTCACTTTTTCGTTTTGTTTTGTTTTCAAGACAGGTTTTCTCTGTGTAGGCCTGGCTGTCCCAGAACTCCCTCTGTAGACCAGTCTGGCTTTGGAACTCATAGAGACCCGCCTGCCTCTGCCTCCCGAGTGCTAGGATTAAAGGTGCGTGCTACCACCACAGCCTTGCTGGTTTTTTATATCTTATTTTTAAATCTTTTTTGCTGCAGAGGTATATGTGAGAAACTGAGGGATCACATACAAACTCACTTATTTCTTTCCTTATTTATTTTTTTTCAGGTGAGAATAACAGAAAAGTTACTAGGTTCTGGTCAAATAAGAATTTCTGTCTTCCAAAATTGCAATTATCAAAGCAATTTTGTTTCTTTTAAGGAATGTGATTTCTCTTTGAACACACCATTTCTCTGTGTTCTTTGCCATGAACTTGTGGGACACCGTATTCTGTGCTCTTTTATGATGTACAGCAGAGTTTTTCTTAGTCACCTTCTCTCTTGATGATAAACATAAAAAGATTTTCCTATTTTCTGACCTCTGCCTTTTGGGATTATTTTATTCTCTGCCCCTCTTCAGAATCATGGTCTTATTATTTTCTGTGTCTTGGATTGCTTTAAAGTCATACATCAGATTTTATAAAAAATGAGGATTATCAAAAAAAAAAAAAAAAAAGCCGGGCGGTGGTGGCACACGCCTTTAATCCCAGCACTCAGGAGGCAGAGCCAGGCGGATCTCTGTGAGTTCGAGGCCAGCCTAGTCTCCAAAGCGAGTTCCAGGAAAGGTGCAAAGCAACACAGAGAAACCTTGTCTCGAAAAAACCAAAAAAAAAAAAAAATGAGGATTATTTCCTAATACATTATCATTTTTGGAAGACTTAAAGACTGCAGTTTGTCTGCATTCAGATAACTGAGACCCTTAACTAAGGCCTACCACTGTCTTCACCATTTTATTTATTTACAATTTTTATTTAGAAATTGCACCATATGTTTCAGAGTGCCTTTATAGCTATTGAACTGCAATGGACTGCCATTATAGAGAGTCTTAAATACACAACCCTAATCTGTAATGTTGCTGATTTCAAAATCAGGTAGAGAGAGATGGAAGTAAACCAGTTCATTTATTAAGAAAAACCCTTCTGTTCAAAGGAGAATTAGATTGTACGGGATGAAGCTTCAGTTACAGAGAGCAGTAGCTTCTGCCTCAGAGACAACACACTGCATGCTAAAAGCAGCAGTAGTAACGGCACCTCCATGAATATCCATAACATATTCCCTAACGAAAGGAGGACAAGAGAGGATGGAAAAGGATCAGATAATGCTGTTGAGTCTCTAAAGAAACAAAATGACAACTAGCTCTCCCTCTTCAGCTTCCCAAATTTGTGTCCCCTTCAATAATAGCCTTTTGATTCTAAAGCTTCTAGAAAAACAGTTTCTAAAATTTGTAAACTACCATTAAACTTAAGAAGTCAAATAAAAGTGGGCTCTTCCAGAATTACTTCCAAGAAAATGTTTCCAAGTGTGCATTCCCCTCAGTAGACTGCCTGTGTACACACTGGGTCTCTGCTAATTTGACAAGTGAGAAAACTTCTATAACGCTAGCAGCTACTCATGGCTAGTTAAACACCTATTATGCTGACTGCCTTACTTAAGTAATGATCAGATTTCACAATTGAAACAGTTTAATCCTTTTAGACATTTGCAGTTAACCTTTAAGCTAAAACTGAACAAAGAATCACCCTTACCTGTATGAGGAGCTTGTGCTGACTAAGGTTATATACTGTTCAGGTAGTGATGTAAATTTCAGACTGACAGTTCTCTGATCTTCACTCTTCCAGGATCCTCAACCAGTTTGAATAGAGTCTTGTATGACACCAACTACATAGGGAGAAAAGGGAAATTAGATATTGAAGAAATTCCATAGTTATGGTAAATGTAGCAACTACCTCCTCAAAAAAACAAAACAAAACAACCCTCGTTTCTCTATTTCTTTAGTGGGAGGAAGTTAGTGGGCAATCTACCTATAAACATATTTAGTATACTTCCTTATGATTATTTCCTCAAGTAGCTAGCTTTACTATTGTGATTGGCTGAAGTTACATTGAAAGGTTTAATTCCACATAGATAGTTATTTTTCTATGAGCATGACAGAAGGAACTACTCTCTAGTAACTCAAGAAAATACTGATACAAATTTGCCTCTCAGCTTCACTACAAAGCTCATCTGCTTTGCAATCCATCTTTTCCAAGAGTGGGGGAAAACAAACCTTCAAGTTTTCTTATTTCTACTAGCTTGCTCAAATTAAGTATCAATATGCTAGATTAAAACCTCATGGTCATCAGTAGTCTTGGGGCTGTTTGGGGGTTGAAAAAGCTGGTGCCCAGAAATGCTCACTGTGTACACAGACTATACCCAGGGACTGTAACCCAGTTTGGTTACTAAAATAAACTCTCTCTGCTTCAAATTGGCATGTGCTACCTCCATTTTGAGTTGAAGTAGTGAGTACATCAGATAGAGCATTTTATGATATATTTGGGGAACCTTAGAAGTAGCAAATATGTTTCAGAACAAGTTAATAGTTTTAACAAATTATGACACTAATCTTACATGTAAGATTATTTAGTCAGTCTGTGAATTAACCACTAAGTGAAGGGTAAAATGCACATAGCAAGAGCTGTATACAAGAGCTATGTACATTTAGTACTGTACCACTGAGCTACCTACATCCCCAGCCCAGTTTTGCCAATTCTTGTTTCCAAACCCAAGTCCTGCTTACTACTTACCCAGTGTGTAGAAGATGAGAAATTGAGTTTATTCAACAATTGAGCCTGAGAAGCTGGAGAGGGCTATTATTGGCAATGCTCTGTCTTGAAGAATTGGGTTCCAAGAAAGGGCTTTTATAGGGAGGGAAAGTCTGCCTTAAGCACTGGTACAATGGGCAGGAAGCTCTGTGCCCATTTCTCTTCCCCTTGTGGCAAGAACATAGTAATCAACCTTGACCTCCTGGGGCTAGATACAAACATAAGTTTTCTACAAGTTAATCTTCACAGAAATTTGTCCGCTTTGTGTTGATTGATGCAGAGAGTTAAAAGAACAAGGAGGGCTACACATTCTGATGTTATCTGAAAGTCACCAGAAGTTCGGGTTCTAGAAATCTAAAAATTGTTTGGCAGTTGCCATCTTCATCATTTTGCTAGGCTTTTCTTCAGCACCTAGAGTCACAAAAGGCAGCAAGGGAAGCGGGGGATGGCCACGTGGCTTTCTCTCCATGGCCCACTGCAGTGCCAGCCTCTTCCTACCTTTAGAAAAACCCTTGTTCTTTTGCAGTACTGGGGATAGAACTCAGGGACTTCTTGCATACCCAGCAAGCCCTTTCCTATATCTGAATTCCCCAAAATGGACAACTCCTTAAAAAGTGGCCATTGTTACGTTCCTGACTGTTTTAGGTTTTAAAGTTCTGTATTTTCCTTAAACAGTGCAGTTCACTCAGATATTTATTGGAGTTTCTACCACGTTTCTAGTGGTATGTGGAGATCATGGAAGAAACAGTAAATCAAAATGGTTTTTTAAAAAAAAAAAACCTTGTGAAACTAACTGAAGGAGAGAACAGAGAATGTATGATGAATAGTGGTGGAAAGCGAGGCTGAAAGAAATAACAGGAATACCTAAAATGAGACTGCTAGTAAGATAATATAAAATCTTTTTCTAAGAAAGTAGAAAATATTTCTTTCCAATAGTAGAAAAAATTAATGTCAGGTGATAATACACTAACAAGAATATTACTTGTCAGGGAGACATTTCAAGAATATTAAACCAAGCTACAAATCCTCTAGGAAGTAAAAAGTACCCC